CTGCGGATCCTCGGGTTAATGTAAGAGTTAACCCGGTGCTTGCCTTTCCCAGCGAGGTGTCTTCCTGTCCCGGAGCGGCGTGGCTCTCCAGCTCTGGACCCTTTCCGTCCCCCTGTTGGGTGCTTACCCACACGGTGTGCGATCATCCCGCCACCCTCTCCGTGCTCTCCACCGCTGCCTTGCCCCGGTGTCCAAACCGGGGCATTTGGGTTCAAACCCATCGGCAGCTGTCTCCAAGTTGGCTTATCACGACCTACCTCGATCTCGTGACCGCGGTAACTCCCGACCGCCAAACTCAGGATCCTCTCCTACACGGTGCTAGGGACCGTATATCCGTCGTTGTTGGGTGGTTTTTTCGAGGGTTAACTGCACTTGCGGGCCTCGGCCTCCCCCGGGGAGGGGAGGAGGGGGGAGGCGGAGAGTCCAGTGCACAAGAAAAATACATGGCTTGGATCAACTTGGATGAGAGCACCCGGAAGGAAAAGAAGGACTAAAGTGGAGGTGAAGAGCATCGATCTCCCTACCTGTTCAATGCTAATGAACCGCTCTACCATTTGAGCTACACCCCCATCACATATGAGGGTCGGTGGGCACCGTCCTTAAACGCGCCGGGAACACAGCTGCAGAAGGACAAACCGCCTTCCCACTTGATACAATACCGCGTTTGAAGCATGCAACTGCTATCTCATGTTTACCATTTCGTATGTAGTTTGACTAGAACGGACAGAAGCAGGTTCTGCGTAGAGGCAACCGAACGGCTTATAATTGTGAACACAACAACAATAACAACAACAACAACAACAATGTATGCACATCCACCTCTCAAACGGAGGACGGGGGGGGCGGTAGCCCCCGCGTCCGCCGCCCTTGTACTCCGCGCTTGTACTACAATTTAGAAGTACATAAATGGTCTGTTGGGATCCGCCGCCCTTGTACAACATTTACTAACTGTTGGGATACACTGCAAAGGAGAAAAGAAACGGACCTCAAGCAGCACAAAGAGGTTCCTAAGGGGTGGCGCCTTCTGTACAATCGCACCAGCAACAGAAAAAGTAAAAGTAGCTCTTGAGACAATATCGCGTGCAGCCGCAGGCAAGGCTCGCGCTTTCGTCACAATCGCATCTCAGAAGAGGCAGAGCTTCACCGCACAATTATTCCCGTCCCGACAAAAAATACAACCGTCCTTCGCAGACAAACGAGCTTGTCCCCCCGTTTCGACGACGCGCAAGACGCCGGCGGGGGGCACCTCAAGGACACCTCACCTGGGGTAGGCGGCGGGGGGTGCTCTCACGCCCACGGCAGCAGCGCCCGCGGTAGACTTTCCACCAAACGACGGGCCTCCAGACCTTGAAGTCCCAAGCTCGGGAGACGGGACGTAGCAGGGACACTTTCCACAAAAAAAAAAAGGAACACGCGAAGAGGGGTATACAGAGGGCTCACTCATCTGTCGCCAGACAGTGGAGCAGATACCAGCTTTCTCTCCCGGCGCTAAGGCCACGGTCGCAGGGGAATTGGGTGCGCTCTACAAGGCAAGTCAGGTAAGTGGGTTGGTCGTTTGCCGGCGGCAGCACGGAGTCTGGCAACCGATGGCTGTGATGACCAGGGGGTGAATGGGAGAGGCCATGGCCACACAATGGGGAAAGCTCAAAAGGCCACCCCTTGCGGTTACGGGAGATGGTTGTGGTATGCCTCCGTGAACTCGGTCACCCTTTTCTTGAAGCGTCGCCCAAACGCAACAAAAATTGCACACAAATCGCTCGCTTTTGTATGTGTATACGAACGCCGAACGAATCCCCGAGCCCAAGAGCACTGCCATTCTCAACGAAATCGCTTTTTGAAAGTATGGAACAGAAGCAGGGACTACAATGTAGACCCTAACCCGCAAATCCCGCCGCTTCCGTACCTTATTCAACGTGAAACCCCCGAAATTCCACCGATTCTATACTTCATCCAACCCGTTTGCTTACTAAAAACCTGGGTACAATGCTACTGAATTCTTCCACGCACCTCTTTGGCGATCACTTCTCCGAAGGCGCTATGGAGCATCACGTCCGTCAGCTCATCCCTCATGGCCATCGCCTCCCAGCCCTCGTCGTCTTTCGCAAGCCCCAGCGCCTTGGCGCCCGGCTTTAGCGGCAGGTGCGGCGCAACCATCCTCCGAAAACCGCTGCTCTCAAACATGAGGTGCGACTCGGGGTGTTCCAACTGGCAGACACGGGGGCGGGGGCGGGGGGCGGGTACTCATGATTTGCGTGCCATAGATGTTAGACCATTCACCGCAGGGGGTGCTCATGTTTTCCATGCCTTGTTAGACCATTGAAGACTATGGCATGAGATCAGCAAGCTGATGAATCGATCTCGCCCCCGAGTTTGCATACCACACATCTAGCCCATGCGTTCTCGAGTGTATGGTGCCAGCAAGACCTTCAAAATACCGTTTGAAAAAAACACCAGGGTATCCTGCGCTAGGCAAAAGACAACGGTAGCAACTTCGACAGCGACAGCGACACGCTTTGCAACATCATCACAAAATCGCAGCAACTACAGCAAGAGAATGACAGCAAACCACGACGGCTACAACTAACATCAACCACAACTCCATTTTATGTCCCTCAAAACAGTCAACTCCGCTTCAAGAAACAAATGATTTTCTTCCTAAAAAAATGTCCTTTACTGTAGCGCGGAAGTGCCCATTAATCGTACCACACCCCTACTTCTGTCACATTCTGCGGAGCACCATGCCTCTGAAAACAATACTGAGTCGGAACGGTAACAAATGTGAGGGATCGGAACGGTTTAAGACAGTACCGACAACCACTTCTCTGGTGTCCTTAGGGAGTGGGGACGACCGACTCTCGCCTCATCTTCGCCGCTTGAGTCCCCCTCGTTGCCGTGCCACTCCATCCCCCCCGCGGTCTTGCCCCCCCGAGGGCGAAGCTCCTTGTACCTCAGCATGCACGCCCGGATGCCCATGGTGTTGCCCAGGCCGATGGAGATAGCGCCGAGGATCTTCGCCGTGAATATTATTCCCGAAATCGATTCAGGAGCGGAGCGGGCCATTGCGAAGCGGATTCAATCAAGGTTGGGGGGGGTGATTGGGTGCCCAACTCTATCCCGTCATACGTCATTTCATATCTTAATGGATTATCTAGGAGACCATTGGAGCTTGTTTCCCAAAATCGATTCAGCAACGGTAGCGTGGGGTGGGGGGCAATTGGGTGCCAAACTCTAACCGCCCATACGCCATGATCAACATGATTGGTGGTATAGCAAAACGAGGACGATGTAGCTCCCGGAACTGTTCGTCGTACCGACTCGGCGGTGGGCATCAGAATAATCTATCGCAAGGGGAATTCCAATTTCTAGCCCAACAGGTGGAGCGCCATGACAACGGGTCAAGAATTCGCTACGTTTCACAAAAAGCGGTCCCATCTATGGTACGTTGGTAAAATCTAGGGGACGAGACTTTCTTTTAGCACCCCCGTTCTGCTGCACACCCCGAGTTCGGCATCGGTATGCTCTTCCACAGACACGAAGCGCGAGAATAACGGCTGCGTCGTCGTGCCCACCGAGGTAGGTACAATTTTCATCGTACTGCTGTACACCGCACCGAAAACGGGTTAAATTAAGACTCGATTTCTGCGAACAGCCCGGGGATGACTCGTTTCCGTCCCCCTCTTGTACGAGAATAACCTCCGACATGAGATGGAAAACTTGGCGTACCTTCATGGGCACGTCCTCCTCATCCTCTCTACCCTCGAACATGTCCCGGTCCGAATAGCTATTTCTCCGGCTGACCTGGAAACCGCATCAAGGCGTGCCATAGGGCATTCGTTTTTACTTCGTTTGTGTCGTAACGCGGCGTGTCGTGTGCTACGGTACAGCACGTCGAGCGGGTGTCTGACAAGGCGGATTTGTCATCGTTGGAAGCGGATTTGACAATAGAAACCGTTCCGGTCTCTGCTCAGCCCCTTGGAAGCAGCATCTTTTGCACAGAATGTGGGCGAAAACGCCCCCTTCGACGTCGTGCATGATGGAACTACGGCATAATAAAAAAAACTGTTTTGCAGAAAGGAACAGCGGGACTGAGAACGAGGAGAGAACAAGAACAAGGACAACAGGAAAGAACAAGAACAAAACAAGAACATCGTCATCAACACCAACAAGGACGACGACGACGACACGATACCTCATTTTTCCGTGTGCGATCAATACCAACCCAAACAAAGGTAACCACAGCCGCATGCTCCACGCTACGCGTACGAAATCAACACAACCCAGGCATCGTACTAAACGAGAACCCTGCCTTGTAGTAGTGCCCGCTGCCCCATCGCGTGCGCCCGCCGTGACCCGCGACCCCCTGCGGCGGCTCCGGGGGCTCCGCGCCGCCCTTGCCCCACCCTAGGTCCAAGTCCTGCGGGGGGGAGGGCAGTTGTACGACGCGTCACCTCGGGGTAGCATGGGGAACCAAACTCGAATACTAACCGAAACTCATATTTGGGGAGTACGATTAGTTGCAAATTTGATCCTGGACTGTACTCATTATCTTTAGATAGACATGAGTTCGTTGTGATTTTGCAAGAAACAAAACAAAGAAATCTCATCCGCAAGGTCAACGCCACGCAAACCAAACATGCAAGCCGCCGGGGGGCCCAGGTAGTTTGCGGGGCCTCCAAAGCCGTGAGGCGTCAGCTCCAGCGAGAGGAAATTAGGGGCAGGAAAGACACAGTGGGAAGCATCCTGAACTCCAGACTTCAGGTTGACAGGCATTCATGATAGTCTACACAACCAAAATACAGGGCAGAGGAAACAGCCGTTTCAAAGGTGCGGAGGGAACAACGAGGGAGCAAAAAACACATGTCGGGAGAGTAAGCTCGAATCGAAAGCAGATTGGAGTTGAAAAAAGAAAAACAGAGGTTCAGGATGACAATAAAGAGCAAAAAAAAACGATCGGACAAGCGAGCAGTATCAAGTACGAATCACCCTGCAAGTTAATCCGGACGAAGCACAAATTGGTAGCAGCTTGGAAAAACTCAACCGACAACGTCATGAAGATCCATACACCCTGGTGTCCGATCTCGGAGTCTAAGCACGAATAGGAACACAGCTCGGAACTAAAAAGCGAAAACAGTGGCTAAGGGCGACGATACAGCAACAACCAAAGACTACCCGTCAACGAACGGTAGCCACCACCTTCCCTGGAAAAGTATCTCGCGCTTAAGACTTAGGCACGAGTTGGAAGCAGCTCGGAACCAAAGAAAAAACCAAAGGTTAAGGACATCACACAATGACAAAGTACCCGACAACGAACGGCCGTATCGCCTACCCTGGCTCCCTCCAAGCTCGCTCCTGGCGATTCCGGCACCACTTCCTCGTTCTCCGGCAACCCCGACAGCCTCCCCGACTGCTGCTGCGGTTGCTGGAAGGGGTCCGGGAACCTCACCGCCGGCGAGGTGGCGGCGGCCATGTCGGCCGTGTTTGATGCTTCCGAGCCGGGGGCGGCGTCCTTGGCTGCTTGCGCGGATGGGGGTCGCGTGGGCGGGGGCGGCATTTCTCCGCTCGCTGACAACGCTCCGTTACCCCCATCCCCTCCGGCGCTAGAGCTGGAGCCCTTGTTGCTTCTCCCGAGTAGACCGGACCTGAACCTAAGGCTGAATAGGCCGTAACTGCCGTCCCTGCCGCCGTCGCCGCCTCCGCCAGCCTCAGCAGCGCTGCCGCTGCTGCTACCCACACCCGCGGTGGCGGCTGGTCCTCCCCCTACGTCGTAGGCAGCCAATATCGCTCCCAAGTCATCGTCCATCTCGTCGATGTTCTCCGACCGGGACCTGCCGTGCTGCTGCTGCTGCTGGTCGGGGCTGCCGTCCATAGTCATAGCGGCGAGCTCCGAGCTGGCGGAGGAACCGGCTAGGGGGGTGGGGGTGGGCCTCAGGGCGAGGCTTGCCCCCGCTCCCAGAGCCGTCCGCGCCTTGTCCGAGGTCATGCTTTTAGGAGCACGCCGGGGAGAGGCGAGTTAATATGAAGGTAGGGGGGGTAGGGGGGGGACTCGCGTAAACGCATGCCGTAGTCGTTAGGCCATGGGCCTCGCATCCCTACAATGCCAGGACTGAGCGATCTGTCCGGCTTTCGCCGGCCCAGGCTACGTTTCGCAATGTTCGGGGGGTAGAGGGCTCAATTGTCGCTTCACAGAATCAGTTGACATCGACCACGCAGACATCTCCCTTCTGAGAAGGGGCGCCCGTGCCTGCTCCTCATACGTACCGATACCACCCTCAGCCGGGCGTTTTGCCATACCTGCAACACAAAACATCATGCCGCCCTTACTTCCCTTCCGATTTACGAAATTTTGACGGGGCGGATTCGGGGTTGAGCGACCAAGAGCGGGGGGGACGCTTTGAAGGGACACGGAGCACAGACAAAAATACACGTCATGTGTGAGTGGCAACAATTGAGGAATGGAGTTGCGCGATTCACGGCAAAGGAAAGGATCGTACTTCGATCAATCAATACTCTCGGTCGCGACGAAAATAAAAGGCCCGAATAGCTGCCACTCAACGTATCAGGCCAAAGTACAAGAGAAGTTAGTACCTTTGGCTGAGGGCGCCCCCGCCGCGGACGCTCGGTGTGTTAGCCTTTGCCGCTGTCGTAAAGGCGGTCATGAAGATGGCCGTCAGCACGTTGAGGGCCAGGGTAACCGCCAGGGTGATGAAACTCAGGAAGTAGAGGTAGGTCCACGAGCCGAGCGGCGAGGCGTGCACGTAGCCGGTGATGATCATGTTCCTTTTCGCCGGGAAATTCGGGGGGAGGGG